AACAAGAGATATCAGCAAAAATCCTAAAGTCTTTTTGGACCCAAGAAGCGGGCGGTTGCGATTGTATTTCAGTAAAACAAAATTTTTTACAGTGATGTAACTGGTATTGATGGGGAAAAGGAAGATGATACTGAGCATGAAAAACAGCAGTTTACAGGTGCTACACTTCCTTTACTATCTGAAATCTGTCTGTTTTCACTACAGAAGGTTGCAAGTGAATAAAAAATCAATCACTGTGAGCAAGCATGAAGGGCTTCACACGTCGACAAAAGGAGAAATTTGCAGTAATTTTTCAGGCACGCTCAAAAGTTGTGTAGTTTTCTCTGCTTGTGTCACCATTTCTGACCCTATGATGACAAACTTTCAACAACACTCTTTTTTATCTTGAAGTCAAAATATTTGAATGCTGTCCAATCGATAACTTACCGCGTCAGCAGGATACCGAAATGGTTCAGCATATCAATACAGCGTAGAGGGCTTGATTTATGGATAGCCTTCATTTACTGAACATTGAAGTTTGCTGTCTGGCTCCAGCGCAGTAATCTTGCTCACCTTTGTTCCGGTCTTTGTGGCGCAAAGTCATTCCGAGTTTGTTAGTAGCTTTCTTTCTTTTCATCTCGGCTTTCAGTAACTTAATTCACAGAATGCTGTCGCGTGAAACACACTTGTTACTGTGCAAGGAAGAACCGTCAAACCAGTCGTTCTGAAAGCTTAGAGATAAGGAAAACTAGGCTTTTGAATCACTAAAAACTTACGGCATGCATTGGTTAACCTTTGGATTAACTCAGTGGGCTTCTGAGAAAATCTTTTCATCTAATCTACTTTTTGTTCAAAATCAAACATCCGTCAATCTGGCTTCTTAGCGGCTGCAACCATATGGGTAACTGGTTTTGACCTTCGGTCTCCTGAATTTCAGTATTTTTCAGAATGGCAATACTAACACCTAGATTTGGCCTGATTGTTAACATTCTAAACTACATATTCCAAAATGTGTCAACTGTCATTTGTCCATGGCAGATACGCGCTGTATAGTTCAATCCTTTTTCGTTAGTGGCCGCAACTCCCCTAAACTTGGTCAACTTTCTGCACGTGGCGGTCCAGTCTCAACAAAACACATCGAGTCAGAGCAAGAGGGTATGCCAGAAAGCACTTTCACCGAATTCCTCATTTTTAGACATTTTAGTGCATGCGGCGGCCTATTCAATAGTGTCCTGTTCAGTGATACTCCCTTCATGAAGTTGGATAATTAGAGGTAGCTAAAAGTAGCTCATTGAATAAGGTGTAGACTTACTGATCAAACGTTTTGTGATTTGTACCCACGCCCAACATCTTGGCTGTTTTCTCTGGGCTATGGCAACCTGGTAGTATCTCAGCTTTTTTAATTCCTTCAGGTAGCCTGACAGACACGCACAAAAACATAGACCATCCAAACTGCAAGTAGACTTTTTCGACTGAAGCTGTCGCCCAGTGGTATATCAGCTCATACGAATAGCATAATCTCTGTTTCAGTCCCTTGTTAACAAAGCACAAGATGTCATAATTCACCAAGATGAATAGATCTACATGGCAGTTATGCAAACTCTAAAATTCTTCCTAAAGGCTGTATGCTATGATTCCATCATTGTACCTTTTGACTGCTAGTAGCTCTTCTTTTTTGTCTGATTAATATAAACCTGAGAGCAGTCACACCAAATAAAAGCAGAGCTTAGTTTCACAATGACGCAAATATGTGAAGAAGAGTAATCCAGGGGTCATACACATCACGGACTTTATGAGATAGTGGGTGCAGATGTTTGTACAAGTCAGTGAGACTTGCTGACCAAACGTTCTATGATTTGAACCCACTCCCGACATCTTGGCTGCTTTTTTCTTGACTATGGCAACGTTGTAGCATATCAGCTCTTCTAATTCCTTCAGGTGGTCTGGCAGACAAGCACAAAAACGTAGGCCATTCCAACTGCAGCAGGTAAACTTTTACGACTGAAGCTATCACCCGGTGGTATATCAGCTTATAGGAGTAGCATAATCTCTGTTTTACTCCTTTGCTAACAAACCATAAGATCGTCATAACTCACCCGGATAAGTGGATTCACACGGTATTATTGCAAACTCTAACATTTTTCCTAAAGTCTGTATGCTAAGATCCCCAAAATGTACCTTTTGACTGCTCGTAGCTCTCCTTTTCCCTGTCTGATTAACTTAAACCTGAGAGCAGCCACACCAAATAAGAGCAGACGCAATTATGTAAAGAAGAGTAATTCAGGGGTCATACACATCACGGACTTTATGGGATAGTGGGTACAGATGTTTGTACAAGTCAGTCAATATGAAGGTACGTTATGCACGGTTTGCCTAAGTCCTGCGTATCTTGCATTCACTGTAACGCCAGGCAGGCTTAGTGTAGATGCATGATGCCCGGATTGGACGAAGGTGGTGATTTTTTGTTTCTAAAAATTTTATGTGTTTACCTGTCAATAAAAAACAAAGATAATCTAAGCAGGTTTTATATAGGTTATCTGAGCGACCAGTTACAGGTGTGAGTGCTTCCCGTTTTCGAACTGCTTTCCTTCATTATTTTGTTGCTCTTGTTGTTCCGGCGTTTTGTTTAAATAAATCGACTTCGACTTTTGACTTTAATCTGACAAAAGCGTTTTGACATTACTGTCAATTCAATTCTGATAAATCTGGGCGATCAAGACAACTCGGAGGTATCCTATATGACTGCACTTCTGAAGTGTTTGTGCCTAATGTTGCACTGAATAAAACTAAACACCAGATATGTAGAGTACCAAGGATGGTAGTTACGCTTTTATTTAGGCTAGATTGGCTCAGAACTGAGCAAAACTAATAGAGTTAGAGATAAAGCGAATAGTGACCTTGTGTGTTTACCTGCCGCTCACCAGAACTCCTCGTTATGGAGCGTTTTTCTGTGAATGGAGAATTAGATTTAGTCGGTATAAGCAATGGGCTGCAGGGAAGCAATGGGGTCACTGCCGGAAACATTCGCTATATCTCTGCTAAAAAAATATTTCATGCAAGAGTTCAGAACAACTTTGTATGATTTGTGAGTAGAGGTTAACTTTCCGTCTATCATTTCCCCGTCCCAAAAATGGTATATCCTAAGGCCTTCAAAGTAAGCAATCTCACAATCTCAAATTCACTATTTTAAGGTGAACTGCTAAAGAATAACTTTTTGCCGCGTCCAAACTTAAAGGAGTCTACCATAAAAATCATCTGTTAAATGAGGCAACTCACGAAAAATAACTAAATATCACAATAAAACAAGTCGCGCAGACGAGTGGGTGTGATTAAACTACAACTCTCTCACGGCGAAGCCCTGCTTACAGAATACATCTGCTTCCCTGCGGAATAGAGGTAAATGCACTCAGGAGTTGTGAGCAAGTGTAAGTATGTTATCAAGGGAATGTGTGAATTACTGGCAGCGGTGGGAATTAGCCTGGAGCAAAATTAATAGGAATAACTCCTTGGATAGTTTAAGGCTAGCTACATATTCTAGTTCAATGGAGCTGGACAATTGCCAGCTTCATTTTAAAACATGAGCGGTTTTTCAACAGGTTTACACATTTAAAATTCAACGGCACATACTGCTGACAAGTTACGGTCCAACATAATAGTGCAAAAACCCTTGTGCTGTAGCCTTAAAAATAAGCAAATAAGAGTAGGAAAGTATGTGTTTCCAATTTCTTGCTTTATAAATTCACCATTAAAAAACTTCGATAACAAATAAATGTTATACCATAAGAGTTGATGGGAAAATGATCGGGCTAACTCGGCCTGGAGCGTCTTGTGCACTGCTTAGTCGTGCTCTAATTGAATTAGTGTCACCAACGTTCACCAATTCCGTGGTTTCTGGAGGTATGGTTCCCGACGATAAATGATTTTTCCCCGTCTAGTCGAGACTGTCAATCCAGCATTTTGACTTGGTCCCATTTGGGTTTGCTAAAAAAATCAATTATCTACCTTTATAGGTTTCATACGCTTATAAGCCAGGCTTTCACGTCCCATATGGTATAATAGTTCGAAGTCAAATGTTTCCGAGTCTAGCTTCGAGTCAAGTTTTCAAGTCTATTAGGCGGAAATTATATGCATACTGCTGTTTTCAATGCCGAACTACATCGAGCCCAATTTAGCTTTTTTAAAAACCGGACGGATCAAGTATGACCACCGCAATCCTATGGTTGGGCGCCTACTAATTTTTTTGCTGCAATTCAAGTTTTTAAAAACCATTTATTTATTTAATCAAAAAATTGTTTTCCTTTTAAAGTACCACAGCAAAAGACCTCATTAGACCACCGGAGCCAACATTCCTGAAAGAACTTTGTCATACAGTTAGTGAGGAACTATACGAGTCTTCAAAAAAGAGACCTCTCGGAAGGGTTCCCGATCCGGATCTGCCGGAATCCGTCCATCCGGAGTCCACGGTTTTCGGATTACCGAATGTGAAAGGTGGGTCAAAGGCACATCATTATCACGACTATATCTGTTCAATAGTGGACACCTTTTTCTCAGTGCACAGCGGACTGATGCGTGACAAAACCATAGAATTTATTTCATATTTGATAAAAATGCATAATTTTGTTTTCATTAGTACGAAGTTGATTGTCTGTAGCCGTAGATCATCGGGCACACCGGGATGTATTTGTGTTTCGATCACATTCAAAACGGATTTTGGGGCAAGAATAACCCCATAAAAATTATCCTGAACGGGAAGAGGGGTCCAAAGAATCATTATCTAGGCAGTTTTCACTCACTCGCAAACACCTCATCAAATAAGTTGTGATAAACGGTTGTCTGAACTATGAGCACTTGATTGGTGTTTCATTATACTGCTCGTTTTTACTGCAAGAAATTCCCTACATATGGTTTTTCATACAAAATTATCTTCCACAGTAATAGCAAAAATATGAAAAACAAGAAATTTTAGATCGTCCAAAATGAACCGTATTTGCGAGCTTGCGATACGATGAGGCCAGTTAAAAGGCCCCCAAAAGAAATGTCTTTTGTCTCCAGACAGAAAACTGAACTTTTCTGTCTTGGATTTTTGTTTTGAATGGGATTTGATCCCCACTGAGTTTGCCTGTGAACTCACTAAGGGCCAAAACTGAAAGTCAACGGTTATTGGCCTCACAGAGCTCCTTTTATCACACTTCAAGTAAAGCTTGCTTTAGTCGCGGTCTCCTGTGAGCCACATAACCTTTGATTCATTTTTCTACTCGTTTTTTATGAGAATGTAGTGGGTTATATTTACCGGCTAATCAAGAAGCTGTTCTGTCGGTTTGGTAACTACACGCAGCATTTCTTAACTGACTGCTGCTGACTTTGGCTTCCACGCAAAACAGATGAAGCTTAGCAGGAACAGCACATAAATGTTACCTCGGGCACCCGTAGGAAAACTGCCATCCATGAGATGCCTGAACAACCCATCGCATAATAGTCTTTCAACGATTAATGGAAAACTGAAAGCATCCAGAATGATAAGAATGAATAAAAATCTGACGGCAAACTTCAAGTGATGAGACCTGAGGTAGAAAAATTTACGACACTGTTCTTGAGAACAGTGCTTTTGCCCAGTGACTACCGGCATTTTACTGCTAGTAAAAATGTTTTTTATTTATGCCCCGCTCTGCGAAGGCTTGGTTGTAAAGGGTAGCTCACGACTGTGTCAGAAACGTTGAAGGTAAAAAGAACGTACCTCCTTTCTGTTGGGAAAAATGTTTTTTCCATCACCACAACCTGTGATACATATGAGGTGCCTTTAGGTGATGAAATATTCGAAAAAAATAACCATTAGTTTATTATCTATCTGAAAGCGAAGCAGTGATTCTGGAAGTCATGATGCACCAAGCAGCAAACCTCACGGGAGATTCGCGATGTTCCCGACTTGGATTCAAGCAGCACCGGTATGCTAAGTGTGGCTACCAAAGGTGATGTTAACCTACACTTTACTCCCTCCCAATCAGAATGAAATTCTCTGCTTTCTACTATTAGTCCTCGTCTTACGGCCAAGAGACGGGCTTCTTGTTGTGTTTATTCTAAGAACCGACTTCCGGTCATGGTGACCGAGTTTTCCGCTATGTTCGTCGTTATATAGTGACAGAACACTATCGTATGAGTGTCAGTCTGCCAGAAGCGCAAAACAACAAGAGCTAGAGAGATACCGTTGGTATACCTATAACCCTCATGATGCAAACGGCTTTGAAAAGTTTCTTCGGACAACACGGTCAGAAAGTGATAGCCGGGACTAGACTACCATGGACTAGAAAACGAATCGTGCAAGGACTCCACCCAAGCATACGGTGAAGCGTGTGGTCTCCAGCCTCAAAATTAGACATCAGCATTTGGAATTTTCACAGTCTCCGTTTCGTTCTCTTGGTTTTCATTGCTCTGAATCTGCCAACCTCCATCGCGAAAGCCCACCCAGAGAATTGCTGTGTACGCATGACCTATCCGAATGGATTGTAAACCATTGCAAGACAAATGCATTTTAGCGAATATACACTCATCTGCAAACTAATTTGTTTCTTTCGGGAGACTCACCTGGAACCCAACTGAATCCCTCGTTTATGATGTTCTCAGGATTTTCAGCAACCTTATGAGTAGTACATTACAAAGATATAAATGCATTTTAGGTTTGTACAATGAGGACAGTGTGTACTTTCATCGTAAGCAGTAGACCGAATTCCGTACAAATGCTATGAGTCCTGAAGTCATCCAATTGCCAGTTGCCAGCTCACATTAACCTCATTCCCATCAAGTGTTACCTAGGCTGACAAGCACGTCAGAAATTTTGCATGGTTTCGGATACGCCGTAGTTGTACTGCTAATCCAGCTGGAGACTGCAGCTGATGGCAGGAACCACCAGAATCGTTTGAGAGAAAGAAAGCTCTAAGTTAAAAATCAGGTCTGTTCATGAGAGGCATATTTTTCTTACGATAGGTGTAGGTCACTCGTGCCCTCAAAGTGTCTTTTTTTATTATATTTGCGTTCCCTTGACAGACACGAAGCTCTAAGTGAAAAATCAGGTCTGTTCATGAAAGACATATTTGTCTTACGTTAGGTGTAGGTCACTCGTGCCCTCGAAGTGTCTTTTTTATTATATTTGCGTTCCCTTGACATAATCTCTTGTTCCGTTTCATTTTCACCCAAGTTCCCATCTCGCCTAATAAAAATATCGCCTCACCTTCCACCCATTCCGCAAATTTAACCACAGATGGGGGGATCGCACCGATACTCAACCCACGCAAGACTCCGATGGAGTTGGAGCGAGAGGAGGCAGAAGACCGAAAGCATTACATCATTTCACACAAGCACCTCATGCCCGGAGAACAAGGACGGCGTCGTTATGAAAAGTAGGCGAAGAGAGCGGTGATGTATCATATGGGCCTGGTTAACACATTTGCATAGTATCTTTACGTATTTAGACGACGCCATGCGGCTAAACTTGATGTTATCAAAGCTCACTGGAACCACTGGAACCTACTGACGTTATCATAGTAAAATTCCCTTCTGAGATGAACCGTGAGGAAAATCCCAAACTTGTATACTTAGTTACAAGATTTGTTGACTCTATGAATACATTTTTTTCCGATATGTCAAGATGAAAATCTTAAAATGCCCAAACGAATGTAAAATTGCTAAACGAGTGTGGATTCCCGAGCGTATTCCCATCAAGATATATGAAAATATATAATAATTGCCCTCGGTTAAACAGTACGGGTCCAAAAGGAAGGAAATACACTGGGTGTAAAAATTTGAGCGGTTATCCACTTGAAATTTGTGCACGTCTGACGCACCAAATAATCCGTGTTGGTTTAAGCGTTTGCTTGCTGTTTAGCCGTGGATTCATGTTACTTATAAAATTTAAGTAGCCGAAAGCGAATATTTTACTCAGTGACCATCCAAGGACACCAAGTACACTAAAGCAGATGCGCGACTTTCAGTCAGCCTGAAAATTGAAATTCCATTATGAAAATGCTGCTTTTTCTGCAGTTTTGACAGAGACAAGGTTTATGGAATACCAACCTACTCAGATGAGCGAGGAATACACGCACGACGGGCACTCAACTGGTTTACAAATGTTGAAAATGTGACGAAAACGCCGATCATGAGTTCCCGCCAGCTGGACAGGAATGAGCGTTTTGGACACAAACTGGGAAGATCACGTGATCCGTAGGTCATTCACAGAAATTTTTCACCATGTTTATTGAATTAGTCCCCCCGAGTGTGACAGGATAATTTGCCCGTTTTGTAGTTCTCTCGTAGTTGTGCACACCGAAACGGCCGTCAATGTTATCGTTACCACGCATTTAGTCAAGACTGTTCCACTGGAGACTCTGCACGTCCTGTCAAAACTGTAGCAGTTTCATTTAAATAGGATTAATGAGACGGGGTGGTTTGATCGTTGTCAGATGTATAAACGTAACCGAAACTTCTTTGCTATTCGTCTTTGCTAACGTCTTTGCTAAACGTTGCCCCCGTGTAGGTCGGTGCCAAAGTTACGATTGGAAGACGATCATTCAGTTGTGCAGCAAGGGTTTCAGCTGCAGACTTGCTCCGCGCCATAAATTTCAGTAATGCACTCATATAACCATTTGTCCCAGACTACCATCAAAATGTCAGTAGCTCAAACAAAGAGTAATTTCACAAGATGAATTAAACCCTAGGGTGTCGACACTCCAGAAGCCAGTCAAGCAAGACCACCTGATGTTGGTTCCAGGACTCAAGGTTGAATGGCGCTGGGTCCTGTTTAACCGACAGCGAATCACTCTACTGATTAGCTGCCTGTTCAACCACTGACGATGCAGGTTAGAATCTTCTGAGCTTCGCGTGACCCACTCTGACGATCATTCCCAACAGGAACGAAACAGCTCTACGGCGCATCTCGGCTTTTCGGTTGTAGTGGTCTGGCTACCCAATAAATTAGTTTACCAGGAGTGTGTGGCAAAGAAATAAAAATAATTACGCTAGATTGGGTATACAAAAATAAAGAGATCAGACGGAACAGACTCACTAACAATTGTTCTCTTTAAAATAGTTCGTCGTTGGCCCAGGTCAGCGAATAAACAATAATCCAATTATGTTGGTCCAGAGGTCTTCTTCTGAACGCCTCCCACATATAATAGATTCTGAAGATGTCTGAAATGTTGTGCTACCAAAGTTAGTACATGAGACTCGCGAATGACCGCTGCAAGCGCGAGCGAAATCAGAAGAGAGAGTCGAAGCACGTGACCACGCTTGTATTATGTGAAATTGTACAAGTGCGCGTTTTTTTTAGCTTTTCGTATTTAAACGAAAAACGATTATGCAACTGATAAAATATGTAGTGTTATAATGGAAGTAAAATAAGGGTACAAAACGCCACACAGTACAGATTAGCTTCACCGATAAAAATGCAATCTCTACTGAAAACAGTTCTTCTTTCTTGCATGATTGTGAAAAGGGTTGGGTGTTGTCGATGCTGACAGCTTTCCGGAACTGGATCCTCTCCGTTCTTGACTGGGAATGTGGCAAGATATACCTGCTAATGGTGTTTCTTTTTTCAGTTCATGTCCAGGTTCTCTTAGTGGTATCTGGGGATGAAGTATCTCAAAGCGGTTCTAGTTGGCTAACCTTGGGTCTTCTTCTCCCTCCGTCTTTCAGTTCGAATAAATTATGGCCCCACACTTCGTGTGCCGCAATGTAATGTTAGAGTGCCTGGCTGCCCACGGAGTCAGGTTCGCACGCTGTAGTACGATCCTGATATTCACTCGAACTGCTACACACAGTGCATCAGTTCGTGAACGTTGCGGAATAGGCGGCTACCCAGGTGATTCACGAACAGGGTGGTAACGTCTACTGCGTATCCTTCAGCAGACACGGGAGCATTTTTAAACGACCACTTGCGAGGAGGAAGCCATGACGAGTGTGCCTCAGCGCGGTGCGCGGACTATTTTATCGAACAGGTCAACCAATGAAGATGGGGAACTAGCATTTATCTTCGATGAAAGTGTACTACTGAAAGCCTTCATAGTAGTGTACGTTTGACGATGAATAGCGCATTCGGACGGGAATGAATAATCAAAAGGTTGTGGTAATAGTGATATTTTTTTGAACAGTGATATTCAAAAAGAGCCAGGGAAGGACCTGAAACCACACTACGCACATGAACAAGTCCCAAAACCATCGCGTACCCAACTGTGCATACTTAGCATGGTCATATGGCTACTGTGAGTTAGCCGAGAGGCGTCAGCAAAGCCAGGCACAAGCACAGGCCCAGTCTGGTCACGCGAGAATGAGCGAACTGTTACACAGCGTCAGAGAATCACTAGTACTCATGGCGCTGATGGTCGATGTGTGTCTAAGGAAGCCATACTGTGTGTGCCTCACAGGCTTGCGCGGACAGTTATTTAGGTCACGTCCACCAATGTAAACGGGCAATCAGCCAATAGCTTCGATGAAAGATCACTACTGAAAGCGTGTGTAGTAGTGTAAAGTAAACGAGAAAAAACATTTGGAATTTCGAACAAAAATGAGAAACCAAAAGGTTGTGGTTGTGCGGTGTCGCCATAACTATCACTCATGGCTAAGGGTGAGCTACTCATCAGGAGAGGTAAACGTGAGCGGATAATCGTGTCTCTTGCATGAGACGAAGCGCTACAAAAGCCGTGGCTTCTCTTCGCCAACAGCCCAAGAACGCTGAACCCGATCATGGCAACACTGGGTCCGAAACTCGACCACCACGAGCCCACCGTCTGGAAAGCTATACAGCAGATATGGATCAGGTAGGCGAAATGGTGGCAACTTTGCATAAACTTCATATGGAACTATGGTAATAGTTAAACATTGGTTTGGGAAAAGTGGGGGGCTGCGCCGGCCGGGAATCGAACCCGGGCCGCCCGCGTGGCAGGCGAGCATTCTACCACTGAACCACCGGCGCACATTCACTTCGCCCTTCGAGTCCTTACCTAAAGACCGCGTTATCTAGACTTGATGGTACATATTTTCAGTAGCAGTGGTTGTTATCTTCGAGGACGAGTGGAATCTTCATTGATGCAGAAAGCCACAAGCAATAATTGTGCGCTACGGCAGAGAGACGTACGTCCAAAATTTACGACCATGAACTTCCCAACGGTATGATGCTGCAAAATGTCTACAACATGGCATGGCTTCTCTGCACCACTCAGTAGTAGAACACGACTTTTATTGCAAAAGTAGTGGTGTGTGCAGTGTCGATTGATGACGGAGGGTTTCCAGGACCTTTGTGGTAGGAAAGAAGGCGCGTAAACGAGCCACCAGCAATGAGCTAAAGGGATGTCGCTTGTTGCAGACAAATTGGACTATCCGGATGGAAGTAGCACGGCCAAAGGTACCCAAAGGAAGTGCATAGGAATGGTTTAGGGGTTCTACCCTCAGTATCCATCGTAACACGCTCCCGCTCAACGGGAAGGGGACGTCGAGGGAAGTCGCAACCCGGACCTGAAGATGGACACGATACACATTTTGAATGGGGAAGCCAATGTGCGTAAAGTGCTCTCATTGAATGGGTCAATATTGACAGCTACGTGGGTGGAGATTCCGCCCATATCTAACCGACTCGTCGTTCGTTTGCTTAACCAGTCGCAACAAACAACAAGCGGTTGCTTGCTGAGTAATTCAATATTGATGAAGAAACGACACTAGGTCAGTGTTATCCTTAGTATACCGGGGTTAGACTGAATTCCATACTGTTTTCCGGGATCGCCTCTAACCGGAAGAAAATACCCGCTGGGTGGTGAGTAACCTGGGAGCGGAGAATAAATGGCTTTCCGAAAGAGCTTATTGGTACCCAGTCAATGACTACAGACCATGGATGACAAGGAGTAGTCAATGATACTTTGATTTCTACTCATCTATTCCTGGTCCCTAAATTTCTATGCACTCGGTGCTCCTAGACCCTGACAAATTCAGTAAATTTCTTTGCCACCTCACAGTATCGGAATTCAAATATCATGAAAGCCAACCACAAAGTCTGTGTGTACAAATTTAATGGATTGAAACTTAGGCGAAAACCGACACACACACACACTGTTGTCATCACCATGTTTCACTAACCCTAATTTGTGCGATAAGGGAAGAAGCACCAATGACAGACAAGCTTTATTTTGGGGGTACTAACTGAAAGTAATAGGTAGACTCGAGAAGTATCACACCATGTGGCTTTCGTATCTAGCAAGACTAATTTATGCATCTCAAGAATACTGCTACAAAGTGTCAACGGTCGTTTCAAAAACATCCGAATGACCTTTCCAGTATAGCAGATACGATGAAAGTTCCTGATGCTCACGTATTCGGCAAGCCCAGTATCCGGGGAGAACTGACCGTTGCTCAACTCCTTCACGGTAAGATACCCAGACAACCGATTGGTGTACCTCGAGACAACTTGAGCCCAGAACATCAATCCGGCACACAGCAGGAGAAATGTGTGAGCTCAGCGCAACGAGCTGAACAGCTGCTGCCCGTGATTCATCACGCTCTGCGCGAAGCTTCTTTTTGGAGAGGGGCTGAAATCACTGCTCTTCTCTGTCATCGTTCAAATGGAGTGAGTGTACAATGACACGTTTGAGAATAAGTCCCTCACACATTGTTTCCTTTAGTCTCAGCCGTGCAGCTCAAGTTCAGTTACTCACAGAACACAATCCTCCTTGAGATATTGCTTGTTTTGGTTTCCTCCCCACACAGTTTTCGTCTACTTTTAGTTTCAAGTAGGTACACACTGGTCACAATCGTATACACATTTGGATGGATAACGATCAAACAGCTTCAAAAATGTCTTGTATATAAGTCAATCGATTTGTGCACGGTACTTATGCGCATTCAAACTTATGGCGTTCGAAAGGTGCTGTGGTCGATAGCACACATCTCCTGCTACGTCCACAAACATTCGTATTGTTTTGGTAAAGTCGTGGTAGTATCCCAAAAGGTCAACCACACACGTGCCACATAGCACGTTGAGCGGTCTGACAAGCAGCATTTCGAATAACATTTTCAGGGTGTTAGCCTTCGAACCCTGTTTCTGCCGATCAGGTTCCATAAACTGAATTCTGGTGTGATCATCAGTCGGAATCGTTGTGCCATTCAGAGAAATCAGCTGATACCTAGCCAGTTTAGAATGCTCTCGTTTGACGGATCCCCAACACGGACCGCGCGGCATCAGAAACCGTTGGCACTGAAAGACAATAGTAGGTACTCCCGTTTCTTCAGCTTTCGCTGTCCTTGTACGAAGCCAGCGATCTTTCAGGCTTTATCAAAGGATGTTCCCAGGCCCGTTTTCGTCCAGTCGAACTGAATCGCACACCAGCGAGCGAGTCCGGTTAAGCCTACTACCTCACAAATTTAGTCAGTTTGGGTTGAATTTTCATCACTCAGCTTCAGTCAGCACCCTAAGGAAACTGAACGGCCTGGCCCGGGGGTCCTGCACACATTGACCTCCATGTCTTGATCTTTTTGCGCTCTTAGATGCCCCCCGCCACCGGCTGACAGCCACCCGAACACATCCGAAGGACATCTACTGGTGTACTGCTTAACGTATAGCGTGGGTAACGTACAACTAAGATTCAGGAGCACCCAGTCAGTCATACGCAAATAGTGTGGTTCATGGTATGTACATGAGACTGTTTATTCACAATCCAAGTCAGAAGGCGTTACAAATTCCTGGTGGACTGATTTGTTAACTAACTGGAGAGAAACAGAGAGTCGATGGTGACCAGACCAACTGGAACTGTTCTGATATTTGGGCAAAAGTAACAAAGGATCCATTCAGGAGGGTCATGGAGATGGGTGATGAAAGGTCAGTTTCTATCGATGAAGTTCCGAACTTGGAAACCGTGAATCAGACCACTGAATATAGTGAAGCCAAGTTTTTTAACAGATTTTTAACAGTCATTTAGCCTTCATCTTTGGCCAATAAGGAGTTACTTGCCTGCTCGTCCTTTATAAGGAAACTGCATCTCTTCGCATCAGGCTTTCTGACATGGAAATAAGTAACAGAAGGAAAGAGCCACCATACTGAGAAGTGATTTTCGATGATAGACTGCAACTGTAAAAGATCAAAAGGCATCAGTGCGAACTTGAAACATCTCAAAATCGAGTCGGGTGTACTTCTAATTGGTATACTTTCGAGTTCCATTTGATTTATATTGATAATGCTGACCGTTTTGGCCTCTCAAATAAAGAATTTTTCTGTTTTAGCCAGCTATTGGTCTATCAGAAGAATCCAATAGGTAACTAAACTTTCGTACACCGTCATCCCAAACTCCAATTATTGGTGCTCATAGTCGTCATTTCAAGGTGCCACAAATTAATAATTGAGTTCCACAGTGCATGCAAAGGGGTATCTCACGCTCCGCAATCAGGAGACGCATGCTAGGCACACACATAAAGCTGACCAATACTGAACTATTCCTATTTATTTTATGACTACGTGGTCCTCCATATATAAAAACCACCCTAAATATTGCACCACAAGTTGTGGACGCTGTGCGGATGAGATTTTGTTAGGTGCCCTACTCACACCACAAGGAATGAACTGCTCCAGTAGTTCAATTCGACAACGTAGGTAGTGTCGCACAGGAAGAAATCTGAGCTAGTTCCCAGTTTTGATAGCACGCTCATCCAAAGGATGGTTGAAAGGTCTTGAAACCGAGTGTACTGGAGAGTGATACGATCACTTCTTGTAGTGGCCACTTGCTCTTGTCTGCACTCACTTAGTACAAATGGGAACGGGTTGATATCAAACAACAGAGTAAAGCAGAGCCTACATTAGTCACACATGGACGTGAGTGGATACGAATATCTCATGTGACAAGATGAGCTGCCGCAGCTGAACGCCTGTCACCCCTCCATTCGATTGTTTTAATCTGCTTGATGTCAGTTTATCAACCAACGGAACTGTTTACTGCTGTCCCTCTTCTGAGTTGTCTGGCGACCGTGGTTGCCTTGCCTAAACGCGTATGTTTCAAACTGAAAAGGTAACGATACCACTTCGATAGAAGAACACTGTTTTTGCTGTCCAGGATGCTTTCCCGTGTCCTGTTGATAGAGATAAAAGTTTTGTAATTTGATGAGCCAAAGGTTGTTGTTATTGTGCTCCTTGTTGAGAGGGGCCAGACAAATACGTATAAGCGACAGTGTATTCATTCAGAATGAATGACTCAGTAATTTCAGTTACAAAATCAGCCAATCGTAATCGGAAGTTATCTTCCCTTTATGGGTGAGGAGGTCATATGCTGAATCCTACAAATCAGGGGCTTGACGTACTTTTTTGGAGAACGTGTATGTACTAAGTGATAGGTCATCACAAATCGACCAGTGAAGACCTATCGGCATTGGCGTTTTGAAGAAAACAGCTTTTCTATTTGAATCTCATCAGAATGATCTCATTCCAATGGTCGAAGCCCGTGAAATATTCGACCATTTCGAGGTTCCACTCGATGAAGAGCTGACCGAACAGCTGTTTGACGTGATCATGGTCAAGGCACCGGAAGAAATGTGGCGTAGTGTAAGTGAAGCAATGCATCAGACCGTGGAAAGAAATCTGTCCGCTGGTCGTGCACGCCAGGATGAAGATCACTTCCGCTGGGCGGTGGATTGCCGATTGATGTCATTGTTTCTAGACTGGAAGCGTCATCCTGTGGAACAGGCCAAACTGAAGCTTTGCCGATGTTACAAGGAGCTTTCTGAGAAACAGAATCTGAGTGAAGGTTAGTTTATGTTGAATACTATTACTGTTTGGAGGCTCTTATTTATCACATACGGAGGTCCCATTACACTGTAATTTCCAGCCCGACTATTGGTCAATCCCATAGTTCTCATTACATCTGCATTATTGGGTTTCGTTCTACCTCACGCATGGTGCCATGCACTTGGAGATATTTCTTTGAAACCAGAAAGGGCTGACGCGGAAAACATGATGGTATTTACAGTGATTTTTGGCTTCAGGCTATCAGCTGTAACCATTAAATTCAAGTGGACGCTAAAAGCCGCCTGCAGTGGAAACTTCTCGGTAGCTGTCGGTTCTGGGTGATCTCATCAAACTTCTGCATTTACACTAGGAAGAACTCGTAGAACTCGTAAAAAAATCGTCCTCACATGACCGTCTATACAGCTACTTAAAAAACTAAGCTGATGTAGTCTTATCTCACCTAACTGGATTCGAGTCCCGATTTTATTGACCTAAAACAATCGCTCAGCTGTAACACCCTTCCGGTGCCTAGCTGCCATGCCACACGAAGGAGGCACGAGGGCTGGGATACTGCCAGGTCGCTCAAGCCTAGACAGGGGAAGTCGAGAGGCAGAGGTCGGGTTCGAACCACGGACCTTCCGGTCAGTAAATTCGCGCCCTAACCACTTGAGCCATCTCGCCACAATTTTACTGACCTACCAATTGTGGTAACTTATTTCAGCGAAACCCTAAAGTGGACCAACCAAATTAATGCTATCGGAATAGGGGAAGGGATTTGGCTTGTGGGTGTGAATTTCTTGCTTCCTCGTTCTTGCTTCTTGGTCTTCCAGTGATCTACGTTGAACGGGAGGAACAGTTTATCACCCGTTTATAGTCAGTGATGCTTTGCTTGTATCCTTTCGTAGACGCTGATGCCGTTCGACGTCGTCTGAGGAAAGCGATTGACGCCAATGTGCTGACTCACAAGCTGTCCAGTGAAATACTGTCGGGCAACCGTGGAGGACTGGTTGAAGGCGAATGCTATCGAAGGTTGGGTAAACCTCCGGTTGAATTATACCGTCCGGTGCCAAAGGTAAGAACGGTAGTAAGAGTTTTGGTACTCAGAGCAGTTCGGCGTTTTGTTGATTTGTATGAGGGCTAAAGAGGAAACGTGAAATGGGCACAGAGTTAAGGGATTTTTAGTGAATTTTATCGCAGATCTTATGAAGACCTGTCTTTCAGTGAAGTTTGATCGATAAGCTGGAAGTTCCTATGCAGCCTTAAGCTCATGACAGACAATTCCGATCTTGATTTATCGTGAGCGTTTCACCTTTTCGAAATTTTTTCATCGATCTCATTCACTGCATATGTATTACATATTCCACGAGCGATAGGATCTCAGCAGGTTGTATTCACCTCACCACTGTTTGAACAGTACTCTCTCTGATACGGTTGATCGAAAGCTCACAACAAGTTTGCAAGCAAACGGGAAAGTTTCACGAACAGATCAACCGACAGCTGATTGATCACGGATATTACACTCAACCTACCAACATTCTAAGGCATTTTCAATGGGTACATCTCCTAGTTGTTCTTGCTTAGTGTTCCTGCGTCACATCGCTCAGATGATGCTGTGGTAGTGAAAAATACGGAAATATGCCCCAGAGGAATCTTGGATGGTAAACATGCAGATATAAAAACTAGATTTTATCGACCGTAAGACCCCTGGTCAGAATCACGGTAGTTCAACCTGATCGGTTTCACCCTTCCTTATGGGCTATGCTCTTTCGTTCGTAGACTCCTCAGAACACTTGGATGGATGTCCGTGATGTGGAAAGATCTATTGCAGACGGTAGGGAGAAGCTATCGTCTCGAATATCACAGCAGTCAGTCCTCGAAACTATATTCAAGAGACTAACACCTATCAACATCTTTAGAGATAAATGGTCAGAAGAAAAGAAGATACAGACCCTAACCATAGGGACGAGGGTGCATCTATCGATCTGCGTTTTCTGTGCGTTCAACTAACTAATGCCCCCTAAACATCAGGGCATGAAGACGTACCATATGGCGCCATCCACCAAAAGAAAGAGAAGGGCTTTGTTGGGAGGGGGGAGGTTCGCCAGCTGAACGGTTACACTTTTGAATCATGCCAAGTAATCAACATTTTCAGAATTGGCTCCTTATCAGTGCCACATTTCACGTTTTTGGCCACGAAGCTCTCTCTGTGTGAACGTCGTGCACTTGATCAGCAGTGTTCGTTCCTGGGTCAATTGAATTCATCGTGTAGGTGTCTCGGAAGCAAGTGAAAACAAAGTACAGGTTCAAAGTTCGATATGTTCCACTAAAGTGAGGGCAGTAAATGGACTCAATATTGCAACAAACGATGCAGAATGGTTTCGGAGTGCATGATTACAATATAAATTCCTGAGTACAAAATAACAGTTGGGTGACGCAGTCGATAGAGGATCGGTGAGAACGAGATGGGAGCACCATCGCAGGAAAGTAAAAATGAATAAAGTGCATTTCTAGAGATGGATTATCAACAGTGAGCGATTTACAAGATTTCCTCATCAAGAAGGGGGCAAGTAATTTTCCGTTGATTGTGTGGAGTTGAATTAAGTCGACAGGGAGCCATAGCCTCTGCAACATCCGACGGTTGTCTTCACTGTGGATGCCTGAGGGGCTATGAACGAATCCTGGATTGGATTGGTTCATTTCAGACAGTCAATGAATTGGGAGAAACCCCCAAACTAAACTGGTCATCATCTTCGCCATTGTGTATGAAAATCAAGGACAAATACTTGAGTTTTCTTATGACAGCATTAGGTTTGTTGATCGGAGTGACTATTATTTTTCTTTCCGTTTGTCGTATGTTATGCAGCTGGTCTGGTAGGCAGTGCTGTTTTAGTCCCTATTTTTATCTTGTTCTTCGGTGTCGAAACTAAACCTTTCAGAATAGCACTCAGTTTGTGTAGTACCGTGATTCCATGTGGTTGTAATAAACTTAGAGTTAAATCAAATATGCGCTCCACTCACTGGAATATCACCTCTTTGTATGTTTGGTCTTGCTGGTGCGACTAATGTCAAGGCCTCTTCTTTTTCCACCGTTTGAAGCATTCAGTCAGTGATTTGCTTCTCTTGTTCGAAACCCGGCAATTCCACAACAGGTTTCCGCCCCTTTGACTGGACTCTGGACGACGTGGGGCTTATGCATTCCGTCGCCACTGGGCGGGCAGTTCTTTTGGGACTGAACAGCATACTAGTTCGCCAATTCAGGATATTCCAGAGCTAGTATGCAGCAAGTCGCTTGCCCAATGCCTAACACCGAAGTGCCCCCCCCCCGATTATTAAGACTGTGGTTTACCCAGATACGGCTACGAGTTAAACTGCAGTAAGGTTGTACGTTGGTGGAGCATTGCAACAGGCTTGGAGAAGTTAGCCGCATATAATTAAATTAAGAAATATGGACCAGTCAGTAGGGTTCTTCGAATGTAGCCAGTTGTGAAGCTCATTTCTAACGCAGACTATGTTAGTCTTCCGTGTGCAGAAATTTGCCAGACCATCAAGTAGAATATGGGGTTGACGGAAACTCAGGGACTGCGCCTACCTAATGAACCCTAAAACCAGTCATTGGCTGTCGACGAATTTTCAGCGACCTGATGAGTAGTGCACTACGGGCCGTCTTCTGTTTTTGCATCTGTTTTGCTCTCCTTCTACCTTGTTGCCTAAATGAGCTTTCCACACATGGGAGTAGTTTCAACAAGTTGCAAGAAATGATCTGCCATCCTGGGCGCCCAATGTAGATCAAACGTCTTCTGATTCTGTATGCACGGTTATTCTTCTGTTCAGATCAGAAGGGCACACAAGATCACTGATTACGGGGATGAGCCAACCGTCCAAGCCGTGCTCGAACCCAGCATAGACACCCAAACTAAACTGGTCATCATCTTCGCCATTGTGTATGAAAATCAAGAACAAATACTTGAGTTTTCTTATAACAGCATTAGGTTTGTTGATCGGAGTGACTATTATTTTTCTTTCCGTTTGCCGTACGTGTTGCAGCTGGTCTGGTAGGCAGTGCTGTTTTAGTCCCTATTTTTATCTTGTTCTTCGGTGTCGAAACTAAACCTTTCAGAATAGCACTCAGTTTGTGTAGTACCGTGATTCCATGTGGTTGTAATAAACTTAGAGTTAAATCAGATATGCGCTCCACTCACTGGAATATCACCTCTTTGTATGTTTGGTCTTGCTGGTGCGACTAATGTCAAGGCCTCTTCTTTTTCCACCGTTTGAAGCATTCAGTCAGTGATTTGCTTCTCTTGTTCGAAACCCGGCAATTCCACAACAGGTTTCCGCCCCTTTGACTGGACTCTGGACGACGTGGGGCTTATGCATTCCGTCGCCACTGGGCGGGCAGTTCTTTTGGGACTGAACAGCATACTAGTTCGCCAATTCAGGATATTCCAGAGCTAGTATGCAGCAAGTCGCTTGCCCAATGTCTAACACCGAAGTGCCCCCCCCCCGATGATTAAGACTGTGGTTTACCCAGATACGGCTACGAGTTAAACTGCAGTAAGGTTGTACGTTGGTGGAGCATTGCAACAGGCTTGGAGAAGTTAGCCGCATATAATTAAATTAAGAAATATGGGCCAGTCAGTAGGGTTCTTCGAATGTAGCCAGTTGTGAAGCTCATTTCTAAGGCAGACTATGTTAGTCTTCCGCGTGCAGAAATTTGCCTACAAAGCGTTCATTAACCAGACCATCAAGTAGAATATGGTGTTGACGGAAACTCAGGGATTGCGCCTACCTAATGAGCCCTAAAACCAGTCATTGGCTGTCGACGAATTTCCAGCAACCTGATGAGTAGTGCACTACGGACCATCTTCTGTTTTTGCATCTGTTTTGCTCTCCTTCTACCTTGTTGCCTAAATGAGCTTTCCACACATGGGAGTAGTTTCAACAAGTTGCAAGAAATGATCTGCCATCCTGGGCGCCCAATGTAGATCAAACGTCTTCTGATTCTGTATGCACGGTTATTCTTCTGTTCAGATCAGAAGTGCACACAATATCACTGATTACGGGGATGAGCCAACCGTCCAATCCGTACTCGAACCCAGCATATACACCGAGTACGGATTATCCCAAAGAGATTTGCTGAAACTTCGGACAAAAGAAGAGGTAGGTTCTCCCACTCGCGATGACACTCAGTTTTTGCTTACACTCAAACCTGTTTGAAATTTAGTTGGAGGTAGGTTCTCCCTATCGTTATCACACTCGGTTTTCCTTACACTCAAACCTGTTTGAAATTTAGTCACAATGAATAACTGAATGCTGCAAGTTACGAAAGACCCACACACACCCCCGCACCATAGCCGTAATGACAAGAACCAGCATTTTGTGATTGCAAAACGAGCAAAGAAGGCTTTATGCAAGGTTTTTGCACGCAACCCAGTCGGTCGACACCCGCACCATAGCCGTAATGATAAGAACCAGCATTTTATGATTGCGAAACGAGCAGAGAAGGCTTCATGCAAGGTTTTTGCACGCAATCCAGTCGGTGTGCCAGGAGCTAGGTTTGCTTTCAAGCAATAAATCGTCCACCAAAGTTTTGACCGATCAGTTCAAACATCTGACCTTGAGGTAAAGAAAGTAACGTGAATTCCACCAGTCTTTGGGCGAGTACTTTGATGCTTCCAGCTAACTTCACTCTCATAGAGAGAGAGAGAAGAGGAAAACCGTCACCAAGCTCAAACTGCTGAGGATGCCATCAACCTTCCACCTCCAGAGGTTTTGTCCGTTGCTGGGAGGGAACTAACCATATTTATTCGATCCAAGTGTCCTTTATCTCATTTCAGTCATCTAAATTATTGAACATTAATCACATTTGTTGAGCTCAGTCGAATTTGCTGGAACCGGTGATTTGCTGGACCCTGTATTCACCGCCATAGTGTCATACTTCTGCGTAACCCTCAGCACTAAGATGTTCGTATGAAGTTAATCAGTTCGGTTTTCTTTGAACCTATGCTTTAAACGTGCATAAACTTGTAGATAAATGTCACTTTTCATACCAGGGACCAATTCTTGGTGCCATGCCTACCTGTTGAGAACCAGACGTTGTCCGTAGATTCCGAAAACCATTCAACAAACAAGGAAATCTGTGAAAATGCAGCTGAAACCAGGACCAGAATACAAAGAGCTCAGCAAAAGGACACTGTTGTTGTCAGATGAACCAAGACATAATGACAAATATTCTGTAGGCCAAACGGATATGCTCGACGAGGTAAAGATGGATTCGACCCCACAGACACCACTGTGGTTCTTTGATTTCGGTTATGATATTCCTGTTTCTTCCTAATTCGTCCATGGGACTGTGCAAAAAAGGTTTGGTTTAAAGTAAAAACACTTAAAGTGCAGACCAGTACCAGTCTCGTAAAATGCGTCCTTACCATATAACCTGATGATGATTGACTCCACTGGCGATGGCATCTCCTACTGGATGGGACACTTGTAATTCCTGCAAGACTACCCGTGATGCACTGAAAGGATTTCATGTTTCGATGTCTTTAGCTATTATTGCGTGACTCCACTGGCGATGGCGTCTCCTACTGGATGGGACGCTTTTAATTCCTGCAAGACTACCCGTGACGCATTGAAAGCATCTCATGTTTCGATGTCTTTAGCTATTATTGCGTAACTGGATCTTCCGTGGGATCAGCAAGCTGTACATTGCTGACGATTTCAAATAAGACTGAGCAACACTTTTCCGATCTGTCTACGTACTACCGTTGAAAAAAGGCTTTCGCTGCGGAATTATTAGAAAATGCCAACGGACCAGTTGCAGACGATCGGACAGGGAAGCACAACTCTCATATGCATCTTGTTTATAAAAACTGAACATCCATCTTCTCGAACGTGCCTTCCTGAACCTTCCTGGATATTCACTGACTATCACTCAAGTGTGAACGAACGCTACAAAGCAATTCCACAAAGTCCATAATAAATCAATCTCCCTTTTGAAAAGACGCAAAGCGAATTTACAGGAAGAAACCATACTACTCGCCTGCTTCCCCCATCAGTAGTGTCACCGTTACGCCGTGTCGTTTTCACCGTGGTTCTGTCTCTGTAACACAGACTGGTTGTTGTAACCCAAAACGACCGTCGTTTGAAAGTGGCTGCCGGTCGATTGAGAAAGATGTACAAATTTTACTTCCTTTGAGCAGGACTCACTCCATCCTGCTCGTGTTTTCTAGGGCTCTTGAGCTAAACAGTACGACAAGTAGGAGGTTGTCTTCTGAATTTTACTACTCTCATTCAAAAAGATCAAACCATACATAAGGGGACGTTTCTAAAAAGAGAACTTTTGAATTCGTGATACCTATCCATGCTCCACTTTCCTCCATCCTGACGTCAAATAAGCTCTCAGTCAAAGTCTTCGTATACTTTCAGATCAAGTCCATCATGGACAAAGCAAACCTAACCACCAAATTCGACTTGGCCAAGAACTTCGATCAAGTGTGGGATAAAGCAGTTGAGTTGGACAAGCTGATGTTGCAGGAAGTTGCGCCCAACACAGCTGACCGCGCGAGTTTGTATTCATTCAAACAAGTTGCCTACCGCATGCGGGGCGAAGAAATACGCAAACAGATTGATCAACACTACGCGGAACAATGCTGCTAACCAGAAATTGGAAATCCTCAGTTAGTCGGACGATTCACTCCTGATGATGTCCGTTTTTTTTTCATTTTTCCTCCATGCCTTATGGTAAACAAGTTGATTGTCTGCCTGCAAATGACCCTTTAGGATGCAGTTCACGAAGAAATAAAGCGGTCAGATTACAGCTGTATCCGAAATGAAATAACTCTCTCGGGGGATACACCATTTGTACTTTTGTGGTACAGTGTTTTAGGGTTCACTCAGTTTCCTCTGTCGAGATGTTTTTCTGATTGCAGTTCATTTGAAAGGGAATTGACGATAATTGACTCGAAATTCTGTCCATACTTATGCCAGAAACGACGTGGCAAAGCATTCCACGCCTATAAACAAGCCAACCGGATTTCAAGAGAACGAGAAGTCGGTGGATCACTAGTTGCCAGCTTCGTAATCCTTTCGAGGCAGAAAACTCGCGACAAAAGGTTAATGATCTTTCACCAGAGGGACCATGTACTTAGAAATGTCTGATTAGGAACCTTTTTAAGATTCCCCCATGGGAGGAAAAAACGCCTCAAAAAGCCTATTCTCAGAATGGTCTTTCAGAAAGATAACCACGTCAAATTTCATTGTTGTCTAATAAAAATTACTCTTTTCTGACTATGGCTTGCAAACACGTCGGCTGAAGATGAGTATCTTGGCATTCTTGTCGTCTGGTGAATTTGACTCGGGTTGAGGACGTGCACTAATGGTCGGTGTTCAGCGACGGTGGCACTTTGATCCGTTGTCAAAGCCAACTCGACCTCTCACACAGGAAACTAGTACAATGATGTAAATAAGGTAGAACAGACTCACATCATCATGGAGCGCACACCCTGAAAGGTTGCGAATACACACATCGTATCACGAGTCTTTGGTGCACATTTTTTGAGGATAATAACCAGTTAGACTTTTTTTACAGCAAAACATTCATCCAGGTTTCCCAAAATTGTTGAAGGCTAGGTTTAGACAGTGAAGCATTCTGTACATCACAAGTGAAGCAGATGAAAAGAAACGCCCTAAGGTACACATGTTGAGAAAAGAGGATAGATGTGAGTCTGTTTTTCGAACTGTGTATAAAAAGGAAAATAACCATCCGAAAGCAAGACTATTCTGTCGCAAGCAACCAAAACTGGTGAAAAAAATCGCCAGACACGCAGTTTACAGGGAGTTTTTTCGATATAGAACTGACGTCGTTCTCAAACACAAAATTAGTCTGTTTTCAGATCAGATTTTACAGTCATTGGAGCAAATCGATGCGGGAAAGCTGATAAGTATTGTCCTATCACCATCATCATCATCATCACCATCGTCATCATCATCATCGTCATCCGAATCATCATCGTGGCACGCTCAGCTGCCGGGCAGTGGTTCCAGCTGCCATGACTTCGTTCACCGATGATTTGGGGAAAGGGGTAGAAAGCTGCGAACTGGATGTGGTAGCTGGCATAAGTGAATGGGAATAGTCAACGTAGCACATCCCACGAAACTCAGAGTCTCAAACTCACCCCTCCCCCTGAACAGCAGCTTGAACACTTGACCGTTTGGCCACGAGTGGCACTTGGACTAACGTAGCGTCACGCATCCATCAGCCACAGAAACCACACCACGTTGCCATGTATTGATTAGAGTGACAACTTTTCAAACGGAAGTTTCACGCATCTTGCGAAATTAGTCTTACTCTGAGCCAGTGGTGGCAGAACGCCCCTATCCCAATATTCTAATCATACCAGCTGATCACATTTTTCCATCCCACGTCATATCATAACAAGATGGCGTGAAGCAGTTTCGTCTAATGTCAAGGCCTTGTTCTACGACCTTCCGTGCAATAATATGTGCAATACATGGAGTTCATTAAACCCTAACTCAATCCTGTGATGAATTGAGTCAGTGGGTATTGAGTGGGTGAACTAGTTTTTGCTTTTTCAGAGGAGCTTGATAAAGAGTAGGTACTTTTCACTTAGACAACGTTTCGCTTTTGACACGAAAGCTTCATCAGGCCAAGTGAGCGGGTCACCAAATTGACCAGGTTATAAGACAGACGGGGAACCAATCAGTAAGTTAGTCCTCTTCAGAGTATCACACTAGATCGGTGTCGAGTATCAATTAACTACTCTTGTCGGTTAGTGTGGCTGTCAATGTCTTACTTTGGTGGACTCGGGGAGTTTGGTTCCTTAATCTTCTACGTCAGGGTGCTTCAAATGATGATTCACCTCGGTTGCCATTGGTAGATTTTCCTTGGTTTTCATGGTCTTCATCTCGGCAGTAGTTATCTCTCCTAACCTTCTGTTCACGGGAGCCTAGGTAACCATCGATAAAGTGTCTGTTAACCAGATCTTTGAAATATATATTCCCGTACTCCTTAAGTGGCACAGCTCGACCACATCAGCTTGTGTAAATCATACAACGTTCTTTGAATCCAAAAACCAACCTAGTCTTTCTGACCAAATGTTTTGACACCTTGCAAGCACACTTGTCGGCAGTGTTTTTGAGTGGGACTATCAAATCAGGAACGAGCATCAAATGAGTGCTTGTTGTTAAATTATGCGAGCATCTGACAGAAAAATCCACTTTCTCGTTATAATTCAAGTAAATGTGAACCTGAGGCACGTAGAGCGAATTTGACAGATGATGAATCGGCACACCATTTTTGTGAAGACATCCAATTTACTTTCCTTCAGGTGTTGTAGAGACGTGTGGAAAGCACCGGCAGTGAAGCATCGGTATTGAACACTGAGGTTATGCTATCGATGATGAGGATGATGATGATGATGATGATTGATGATGATGACAGGATATGTAGGAATTTGTGATGACCTAGTCCGTCAGATTTCGACAACAAAGACGTTTCGTTCCATTTTGAGTTAACGGAAGCTCTGCTATTTTGAAAACTTCAATTTTCTGGATTCACTATTGAGGAAGATAACATATAACCTCCCTGAAGATAAGACGGTTGCGACTGTTTATTTGTTTTGAATTTGGGGAAAAAATTAGGTGTTGGTAAGCGGTTACCCTGAATCATTTGTTGTCTCGTCAGCTGACTCATACAATACTCTCGGGAACTGTATAAAGACTATCATTGAAAATATATTTAACTCAAGGTTTAATGGACAAAGTTCGGATGTTCGTTTAACTATTCTGTCATGGTCAACCTTACCTTTTGTTTAGCGCAAACTGACTCAAAGAACCTGACAATGATGCACCGAGCAATTTCCATCCAGTTGTCAATGTGTCGAAATGTTGGTAGCCCGGGTGATTACTAGTGCCTGATCTGTCGTTGATCTGTTCGCCTTGGCAATTGGCTTGCAAACGTTTTGTCCCCAGTCTAGGAGATATCGTTAGTGCGTATTCGGGTGAGTGCCTTCTCCGCGCCTGGTTGCGTTTACATAGTTTCTGAAAAGTATCGAATACCCTGTCATGTGATTGATTAGTTGGCAATAACCTTCTTGTGGAGTTATCGGCCCGATCATGATGTGCGCTGCGTTGTGGAATACGAGTCATACAGACCACAACGCACCACAAATCATGATCAGCCCAATAATACTACTAGAAAGTATACGCCAACTAACCAATCACATGATAATGTTATATACTCTTCAAAAACTATATAAACTAGTTAGACACGGAGGAAGCACCCACTCAATTGCGCACTGACGATATCTCCTCGACTGGAGACGAAAGGTCTACAAGCCAATTTTCAAGCTGAGCGAACAGATCAACAACCACCTGATCCCCTCCGATTTCATCCAATTCCTACAAACGTTCAGAAAGTGAACTGTTCCTGTCTTCTAAACTCCTGCCGGTTACTTTTTTAGGTGATACCCGTAACAAGCTCTCCAATTACGGTGCCAGACTGGTTGTGTGGTTGTCAAAAAAGATCAGACTAGCTTAGTTTACGTAACTTCTTTCCGTGAAAGTATGACTTGGACCCAGAAATATGAAAAAAAGTCGTGAGACGCATACAGTCTTTTATCAATATTTTATAAAGTAAAACGTTCATGCAGTTTGCATGGTGAAATGTTTAATTGCTTTTCCCCAAATAACAATGAATGACCAAACATCACGAACGGTCCAAATCAAAAATGGATATCCTGATTCAAATGACGCGAAGCCTGGACCAAAAAGGAAGCAGTATGAAGTTTACAGGTAGTGCTTCAAATGCCAAGTCGTAGCACACCAATCAGCTGTTTGCTTACTCACTCTAGCCAGTTTGTGGGCAAATCCAAGTGACCCATGACGATCCCAGAACGAAGAGCCAATCAATGGGAAAATGTCACGAAAATTTCAATATGCATCAGCTGCTTCACTCAGCAACACACAAAACTTCACATTTCTTCGGTGTTGCACTTGGTGTAGTCGTAGCCAATTTGTCTTCTCCTGGCTGCGATTGTGACAGCTTTTTGTGAGCCTGGAGGTATTTGGACATACGGCTGTTACTTCTCCATTGACGCCACCGGAGTCCCATCAATCGCTGAACCTGAAATAAGTTGGTGAAGGGGTGTATCATGGAAAATCACACGCTTATAACATAGGAGAAGGCGAGGCTGAGTGTGCTTGCTCAACACTGAAAGCGAGGGAACAAAAAGACGTGGGTGTTACTGAGATGCCACTAGTTTAAGATTGGTGTGTAAAGTGCATCAATCGCGCCGATGATCAAGTGAAATTGTTGAAGTGAATCTGTGAGATTTTAGCTGTTGCCTGGAAACATCACAAAAGAGGGATTCAGCTGGGTTCCAGGTGGGTCTCTCGTAAAACCAAATTAGTTTGCAAATGAGTATGTTTCGTTAATTTCGTGCAATTTGGCTTCAAGTAGAACATAAATTTGACGGACACTCGGGGATTGGGTCTACCTGATGAGCCCCAGGAAGGTCGAAACCGGTCGTGGGCTGTCGACGAATTTTCAGCAACCTTATGAGTAGTGCATCACAATAATCAAAACCTGTTGATTATAAGCAGTTTCAAATCCCTCATTTCAAGGCATACAGGACGGGCTTCGTTCCCTGATTCCAACAAATGGGTTTTCAAGGGACAACAAGTCGCTAAGTTATAATCGACTGGATATTTTATCAAAAAGCCCAGTCAGCTAATATCTTATCCTTATTCGGGACTATTGCGTAAATCCTCTTGATTGTTTAAATAAACCTATTTCGGGTTTTTGTAGTTAGTAAGTGGGACGTGATAGGTGGACGTTTTGGAACCAACAGACGGGCATTAAAATCCTCTTGAACAGACTGGACAAACTGTCCACTGATGATACATAATATTTGTTTTGAACCACAGTCTCCTTAATGCCTTCCAATTACCGTGAAACCCGGTAAGGATAGCTGATTGATGGCCTGGTGCTCTTGGCCAAACCAGAACAAGTCAATGAACGTGCAAACCGGCTGATCTATTGATCACTGTCGCGTACAAGCGGTAAAAAATGATACTAAGAATACAACTCATCTGTCAAGGACGAGTGAAGCACAACCAATGAAATCTGTCTCAACGAAAACCGTTATTCCATTGGCTGTTTTGTAGTCCCGTTACGTTCGGAGCTGGTTCTCCTAATACCGTTGAATTGTTGTAACATGATTTCGGAGGGTACTCATAGCACCAGAGTAGAAGGTGCACATGAACTAACCAAGGACTTTTCTCATGTAACATATGTTACATACGTTTATCAGTATTATTAGAACTCGCATAGGAAACTTGCTGATGAAACGTAGTGCCATAACCAGTGTGTCTGCCAAAAAAATTACTCGTATGCCTGTGCACAGTGGCGGTTTCGTTCCGAGGGAAGAACCCGTGGATAAGAATTAACATGAATGAACTGTTCACGTTTTCCTGTAATGTGCCGCACTCCGGATCGACTCATCGGTTTTTGTCTTTAACGTCTAGTTTCAGACGCACAATGAGTATCAGTTTCTTATCTCACTGTGAACTAGATGACTAGATAAGCTAGGCTAATGATGCCAAAAGTCTATATTCGTAATGCGCTAGTCATAAGATCGCCTCATGTTTTAGTTGGCACGATATTCGAGTAACCGCAGTATATTTAAAGGAAACTACTCACAAGGTTGCTGAAAACTCTTCGACAGCCCACGACCGGTTTCGCCCTTCTTGGGGCCAGCTCATCAGGTAGGCGCAGTCCCCGAGTTTCCGTCAAACTTATGTTCTACTTAAAAACCGAATTGCACGAAATAAGCGGAATTCACTCATTTGCAAACTGGAGCCCAGTTGAACCTCTCGGTTGAGTATCCTACAAAACCAAATTAGTTTGCAAATGAGTGTATTTGATTAATTTCAACAATCTATTGCATGTCCTCACCAGTTCCTACAATCCGATATGTGGCATCCATATATCAGTTTTGTTAACTAATTGGAGCTTCGTTGAAGCCAGCGCCTCAGTTTCTGCACTCCCCTTATTCCAGCATCGTAAATCCTTCTTCTATCTCAGCGCAGTCAATCCGAACCAAAGTGAGAGAATAGGGAACAAGAATTTAGCTCTTATTAGTGCTCATCGGTTGTGTTTATTCGTTCCATGCCGGAATTTGTATCTCAGACACTTGAAGTGTCACACGTCTAAGAGGAGAGAGACTCGACGTGGCCACCAGGGTGTATTGTAAGAGGACGCATGTAAGGCAGTCTACTGAAATCCTTGAGGTCTTGCCCTTACCTCAAGTTCTCTATCTTCCTGCAGGCTACAGCTAAACGATTTTTTGAAGACCAGTAAGAAGGACTAAACAGTCATAGTTACACTCCACGTATTTACACAGTACCTCCGACTCAGACATGCAAAAGAAAGTGTAGTTGATTGACTATTAGGTTGCGAACGTTCCTTCACCAATCATGGTAACATAGGGGCATGACACTGCGTCCGTATGTAGGACTTAATCAATATTGCTCTTGTGTTTATACACGTTTGCTTGATCAAGATGTTACCTCTGCGTGTGGTTACATGTTTGGACAAGCAGTTCCAATTTCGGATTCTGCGAATAAACTTCTGGCTAGTCGACGCCTAGCTTACCTTTAAGGCGAACCTCTCCGAGTTATCCCAGTTCATGTAATCCGAATTATTCTTATATGGATTCACTATGCATGGTAACTAGACTAGGCAACTCAGTGTGTTCCCTCCAGTTAACCCCTTGTGTTCAGCTGTCATTCTGCTATCATCAAGTAGCTTCTACAAAACAATAAAAACTCGAGTTATCGTACCATCATTACTGACTATGGACATCGAATATGTGGCTCACCAGAGCAAACGGTCGCATGCCTGCTTGAGTTCAAAGATGTCCAGTCAAGCGATATGGGTCGCCTCGTCTTATAACCTGTGTGCTTATCAGTATTTTACCAAAACAAATAAACTTGCTTGTTTGTGCATCTCAAATACACTAGGATCGGTGAAGTGGATTAAGTTGGTTAAACATCGCGGTGGAGTTTCGCTCTGGTCCCAGAAATGTACCAGAAACTCCGAATCTCTAAACCTAATCAAAATTTCAGTTGGAAACCATTGGGGATTTTACGAAGGCCAGATATAAAGCGACCCTGGTGATAAGGTTTTCCAGCGCTGTAATTCTAAAATGTAACGACAGATTTACCAGTTTGACAATTAATCAGCAAATCCAGGTGGAAACCACTCGATATTGTTATTGAAGTCAGAAAGAAACGGACTTTGGTGGATGGTTTCATCATCATGGTAGTTTCAGAAATGTACCAACCCACTCCCAATTTCGACAACTAATCAGGAAATCCAGGCAAAAACCCTTGGGTATGAGCGCCAAGAATGAGATTTTCTTTACCGGTTGATGAAAGAGAGAGACAAAGGTGTGCCGCACTCACCTCAGAATTCCAGAAACAGTAAATCACGGACACCCAGAAGCCCTGCGTTTGTGAGGGGGGGGGGAGGAAATATGGAGGATACTGGATGATACCACTTTGGGATTATTTAACAGGATAAACAAGTGGGGAATTCGTAGAGAATGTTGCTCAGTTAAGCACTTCAAATTTAGAGTGAAGAAATCCCTAGTCGGGGTCGTCGAGCTCGTTCTGATGTAAACATGTGGCCAAACAGTTTCTGTTGGAAACGACTGGTTGGAGAAGCAATCCTCTAAAACATGGCTTCCCTGTTCTGTGATGAAATTTCTTTGTTTTTAGAAACTGTATTAGATCGTACAGAATATTTTGATCGCCTATCAACCAGTAGATTCTAAAACCTGGAAAGAGGCTTATCTACACAGTCGTAACTCTGCGAGCACGACCGTATTACCATCACCGCTACCATGACCGTATTAGAGTAGACATTGTTGCAAGGAATTGGTAGTTAGAAATACCTCATCGATTATATCGTTGAGTCGATTGTCGGTCTGATTGTTCTTGTGACGGATGTGAGATGCTTAGTTTCGGAAAATATTTGAAACGACTGAGGTGGATTTACGAAGAATTTGCACAGGCTTGGATCACTTTATCAGTGATTACAAGTTACTTGTTTCTCAGGATGAACCTGTACTACTTGACACACCAAAATAGTAATTCATAAATGGAAAGCCATCAAAATTACGACTGTGAACACTGACAGCTTACCGGGCTCCGTGCTGAAAACTTTTGTCATGAGTTGAGGTAAGCGCTTAGTTGGAAGGGTACCTGTTCATTGGTTACACGTCTAAAAGCCTTACATACCCTTGGGAAGCTGTATCAATTTCACCTTACCACGTACAATGCACGGATTTTTAAAAGCTTCTCGGCTCAAACTGCTTTTGCTATTTTCAATGTCAACAGAAAGGGAGATAGTCTGATGGCTGAGATGGTTGTCTTTCCTATCAATTGTTCAAATGATTGAACGCCTTATGGCTTGCGTGAGCTTCCAATATAGAATGTGTGCTTGAATGCCTCTGCTTCCTGATATCGTTTTATCTGCTAATTCCTCCAGCCACATTGCTCAAAGTTCATGACTTGGGCTAAGCGGTTGAAGCACATGATAGGGGTCGCAAAAATATCTAAACCACCTGATGGCCGTGTAAGATTGGCGTAAGTCGGCATGTCCTATGTTCTGCCTTCGAACTCTATGGGTGTCTGAGAAGTTGGCACTTCCGAAATCGAAACCCTGATCAGCTGGGTCATGTTGATCAGATAACAGACGTCAGCGAATTAGAATGCATCATTCCATACTCTGCTAGGTCTGCGTTGCATATCAAGTTAACTAAACTGTTTGGATCTGAGGGAAGATATCATGGATCTGGTGAAGGATGGTGATTAAAGCTTCATGTATAATCGAAACTTATGAATTGGTTTGAAGAAAGTATGACAATGTGTTGAATTACTGGTGTAACGGTGATACTACTGATGGGGGAGGCATGCGAGTAGTATGTTTTCNTTCTCATAAATCCGCCTTCCGTCTCTTGAAAAGTGAGATCTATTACAGAATTTGTGGACTCGCCTTGTAGCATTTGCTTGGATTTTAACAACAGTCAATGAATCGCCCGAAAAGACCAGGAAGACGCATTCAAAGAGAGGATGGATATTCAGTTTTTGTAAACAAAAGGCATATGAGAGTTTTGCTTCCTTGCCCAATAGTCTGTAACTTGGCGTTTTTTAACAAATAACTCCGCATCGAAAGCCTTCTTCCTTTCATTGATAGCTCCAGTGGGTTAACTGGCTGTTGATCAGGCTACTGTTGGCCTGTTCGCTGAGCTTGGCAAGCGTTTTGTCATTACACAAGGAAGCAACCACGCCCTGACGAGGCTTCAAACAAATGCCAAGCTTGACGAACAGATCAACTACTTAGTTTTACTTACCAGACGGGTTTGGTGGAGGACTCTTCTCCGCAGTACTAGCTTCTGGAAAGAAAGGCCAAGTTGTGCACCCTGGAGCTCAGGGGTCACGTGTTGGGTTTTACTAGTGTTGTGACCCATAATGAGCCAAATATTACCCTGAAAGACCGTTCATGAGAAACTCGAGATTAGGTCTGTATTGCTTCATCACAGCCAGACATTAATTAATGCCGGTAAACAACTTACTAACTTGGGACGTTTTCTCAAATGCACGCACGGTTAGTGCAAAAAACGAGTTGCTACTTCAATGCCAATGTCCTGGTTTAAAGACTGAACATCCTAGTGTAATAGACACGGGTGTGTCATTTGACTGATACTATAAATAGAAACAGAGGCGATTTTTTCGACTCACCTGTGTGCCTATAATGATTGCATTTATGTATTCAAATATCATTTCAAAATTTTGGAAATAAGGGCGAAGGAAGATAAGTTGTGGATAGCCCAAAATTGGCATCAAGACCAGAATCGCCTTCAAAGCTTTCCTGATGGTGGGGGAAAGAAACAGCGTTCATTGATCAACCGTAAATAATATAGCCATTCATAAATGGTTACGGTGTATGAAATAAGTTGGAAATTTATATTTGTATCAAGGAATACACTCATTTGCAAATTAATTTGGTTTTCACGAGAGACTCAACTGAATTTCTCGTTTGCGATATTCTACAACTGAATATGCTGCACGCAGATCGCCTCATGTTTCAGTTGGCACGATATTCGAGATATCGCAATATATTTTCATAAAGAAAACTACTCACAAGGTTGCTGAAAACTCTTCGACAGCCCACGACCGGTTTCGCCCTTCTTGGGGCCAGCTCATCAGGTAGGCGCAGTCCCCGAGTTTCCGTCAACCTTATGTTCTACTTGAACCCAAATTGGACTGTTTTTCGAGAAATACACTCATTTGTGAGTATTTTCTTTTATGAAACTACGGACGAAAATTAAACGATTACCACTAACGTCCAGATTTCGATCAGTTATTTTGGGTGAGAGTCCCCTAGGAGACAGAACCAGGAACCAAGCAATTTCTATCGAGTAGCAAAAACAGCCTAGTCGTGTATGAAAGGTTTTTGGAGCCCCATATCTGTAGCTCACGCCCTTACTGGAAACCCACATAAACGAATCAGAATAAAACGAGAATGTATCAAACACAACATTATGCCAACGGACCGCTGTTCACCCAGCAACATAATGCTTGAAGAACTTACATTTTTCACCATGGCGTAAATCTCTGTCAACGGAATTAAGTGACTTTTGGTTAGAAATTGGAGGATTTAATGGGCAATCCAGTCCGGGATCTATGTAAATAATAATTTGATCAATTGGTGTAAGAACACCAATATGTGAACAGAATACGGGATGAAACTATGGGTACACTTAATGGTGCTATCGTCGAGAGAGAGAGGGCGATTGTGTTCTCCAGGCTTCCCGTCTCAAAACACGTAAGAATCGGTTCGCTGCGATTGTAACGATGACGTTTCGCCTGACGTTTCTCCATTTCAGCTTGGGGATGACAGGCACTTGCGCACAGTTTGCACACTCACTGTACTGGCACGAGATCTGTACGGGATCTCAGCCGGGTAGGGGACTCAAGACACAATTTGGCCAGTCTGCGACCTTCATGGGACCAGACATTAGCTAGTTATGGACAAGGTAAGAGACGCAAAACTCCGAGATGTCTCAACAGAATGCTCCACAATTCTGTCTCCTCATGAGAACACGCAGTGACAACACTCAGTAGAGATTATCAAAATGTACTCATCACAGTCTTACGTGTACGTTCAATGTTGCCAAATCGCCTCTTTCTCAGAATGAAACTGCCTCTGATTTGAGAGCGGAGGCATCAGATCTAAGACAGTATTGCCAAATTCTCATGTGCATGTGAGGCTCCTTCAACAGCCCACAGAGCAGTGAGAATGCTGAATCACTTTTCAACAAAGAAACAGGTGTAGCGAATTCAAACGAACCCACACACACTATCGTTTTTCTTGAACTGACTCAGCAGCAGAGGAACACTTTTATTTCTGTGGACCAGACAGGGAAGTATCACAGGCATTGAACTTGTACATGAGAAATCAATCTCAGTATTGATGGCCAGTTACTGAAGTGTATTGTCAGACATCAGAATGTCAAATAGTTTCACTCGTAGCCACGACGGACGGAATGGTGGAAAATTCTGTTACGACGACCCCGGGATTCGCGCCACTTACGTCGTTAACAGCTTGCTTCTGTCGGGTCCCATGATGACCACAGACTAACCACAGTGTGTCGTGATCCTCACCCAACTGACATCTTGTTTAATGAGTGTACAAAGATGCAAGCAGTTGTTATGCCAAGTCAGTAGCTGCTTCGAAACAGAAATGAGTAATCGTCAGTCCAGATGTTTTTCATGCTCTCGTAGTAAAACCACAGCGACGTGATTCTTAGGTAGAAAGCCCGGAAAATGCAGTCAATCAATCTGTCTCCCGACGATAGCACCATGAAATACTTCTTCACAGCTTCGATTCATTTTTTGACACTTTTATGCCAGCTGATCAAATGAATATTTATATACATTTCCCAAACTTGATTGCCAACACATTCTTGTAGTTCAAACCGAAAAAATCACCTGATTCCATCCACAGGATCGTGTGCAAAAGGGATAGGTAAGCCTTTAATTCTGAAATGCTTTCTTGAGTTTCAACCTGGTGCGTGTTAACGAAATATTTGGCAGCATGAAATTTATTCATAAAACTTTTGGTGACGTCACGCTGGGCGGTTTCGAGCGACTGCTTGAAACTGAGTAACTGCCACTAAACCTGAATCGATCCAGATGATAGCCGTTAGTTTGTTCAATGAGCTGGCCGCTTTGCTTGCAAACGAGTCTGCACCTACCAAGGGAACTATACTGTTACCTCATTGTGCAGAAAGTAACTGAGAGGTACGTCGGCGGTTTTGATGAGGTTACGTTTTGCTATCGACTACAGTACTCTACACGAGGTGAGTGAGCTGAGAACAGACTTCTGGTATGTGTGAACACAAACAGTTGAACGTTGGGGTTTCCATGCGTCAGAAGGTGACAATGTCTTGTCCCCTCTAGTGATGAACCGCAGTTTACAGGTGAACTTGTCAGTCAAAGTATCTTGTGAAAGAAAGACTCGACCAACCTGATTCTTATCTAAATGAACCTGTGTACGGATCGACTAAACCTGGCCTTTTCTGGTCTTTTCCGTATACCAACTTAAAGTGATGTCCTCTGGAAATTTTCCTATCTCCCCGATATGTTTAACATCTAACATTGTTGCGGCATCCTGTTTAGGAAGCGAAAGATAGTCTAGGGAAGAAATATCTGGTTTACGAAAGATAGTTTAGGGGGGAAATATCTGGTTGTTAGATGTGATGGAGGAACCAAAAATCCGTTTCAACTTCATTGTCGAAAGACGACCACCAACGTGTCGAGGTTTTCCGAAAGAGTAGACCAGCTGCGCTACTCACAAACTTCACAGCCATTTCTGCTGCTGGAATGCTTTCCTTGACTATTTCTCATACACCCCTTCCAAACAGATTCTAGTAACAAGTTGTTCACCAAAATTTTGGGATCATCCATTCAATTTCCCGTTTATTTCCAAAAAGGTGAGCGTTTTGTTGTCTCAAGGTCATCGCCTGAACAGTCTAAATCCACTTGGTTGCACATTATGACAAAAGCTGATTTCTGCCGTGTGAAATTTCAAATAATCCTGAAGTGCATTAACATACTCATCAGCTTACCTTCTGCTTGAGTGTACATGCGTTAAAGATATGTGTGATGAAACGTGTTCACACAGTTGGTGCCCAAAGTGATCCCTGAATAGAACAGGGTGACTTACCACGGTTCCAATGAACTATTCTTCCATGTTTTACTTCGAGAAGTTTTCGATGAACTCCTCAAGCCATGCTTTTTCAGAAATTCCAGTAGTTCATGCCTTGGTTGGACAGTTCCATTACTGAGCGTGCTGCGTGCCGCACGGTCATCCGAACTCCAATCCGCACCCGAGACGCGGTTGAGACGCTCCTCGCTCTGAGCATCATCTTCAGTGAGAGTTTTGTTCATAGGACAGGAATCCTTTGATCTTAACTGACTAACTGTGCTTATACAGCGTTTCGGAGCTCTGACGTAGTTGAACACTACTTCACCGATCAAGCGACTGCTGCCGGATCGTGATGCAGCTGATCCACCCGCATGCCGACAACCAGCGGAGCGTCTTTGAACATTTGTCAGCAGCGTATATATGGTGATTGTGGTGATGATCAGGTTGATCTGAGGGTGGAGAGTTAACCTAAGATTTAGATAGTTTTTGAGCGACTTAAAATTATATTCTTATAGTTGTTCTCAAGAAATTCTCATCGTTTGATGTAATAAAACGCGAGACTTGTGCCACTTGCGAGCGGACACGAACAAACTCGTCGAATAGAGTAACTTACGGCAAGCATGCACAGTATCGATCCGAGAACAACAGTTCCCTCAGGTTCAAACAGTGTAGGGTCGTCCCATTTTCTAGATAAAGACGAAAAGAATTCGAATGAATTGTTCTCATTCCTCATTTTCTGGTGGCAGGTTTTCAATTGAATTTCTGTGTATAGATATTATTATAGATTAGACATGGACTGACTGCGGTCTCAAACTTAACAGAACCAGCCGAACTGTTACGCTGAGTACAGATTTTCACTCCGACAAGAACACTCATTTCCAAATCAGTTTGGTTTTCAGGAGAGACTCAACTGAATCTCTCGTTTACGATATTCTTCAACTGAATGTGCTGCACAAAGGCCGACTAAGATATTCAAGTTATCGCAGTACATTTTCATAAAGGAAGCTAATCAAAAAGTTGCTGAGAACTCTTCGACAGCCCACCACCAGTTTCACCCTTCTTGAGGCTCATCAAATAGGCCCACTTATCGGGATTCAGTCAACCTTATGTTCAACTTGAACCCGAACTGGACTGATTTCGACAACCTCATTCATTTTCATATCAATTCGGATGTCGACAATTTTTCAGCAACTTTATGAGTAGTTTCCTTTATAGCCCGTCACTTCATTTCGTCAGCCAGGACATAATTCCGCGCACACATGTGAAAGACCGACTATCTACTCTGGCATGATAAAGATCTGTTCTCATTCATATATTCCGTGTAATTTTCCGTCTTCTATCTTTGCACATAAGCGTACATATATGTACTTCAGCTGTACTTCGGTGCCTAGCTGCCATGCCCCTCGAAGGAAACATGAGGGCCGAGATACCGCGAAGTTGCCCAAACCTAGACCGATGCCACTTGAGGTACAAAGGCCGGATTCGAAACATGAACCTTGCGGTTAGTAAGTTCACTCCTTGAGCACTGAGCCATACCAGGTACATCTATGAAGAAGACTTGGTGTATGTGAAGTATAACAGTTAAAAGTTTCGATTTCTGCCGTGCAATCTATGCTGAAAAGCCAAGAAGCACTGCACAAATGCTTAATCCTTATTCGGAGTCCGCAGCAACACAAAACACACTCATCTCACTCAATTAATTCTCCCTCTTGTGCTGATGAGCCACCCAATGCTGAAAGGTCTAGTGTTCAAGCTACTAGGTGAGTGGTCGCCCGTTCGAAACACTCTGGTGGAGTTTCGTGAGATGTACACTACTGACTATTACCCGTAACGATTAAATAGGTGTACAGTGCTTCTCGGCTTTTCAGCATAGATTGGCTTCACCTACAGGATGAACGCTTAATCGGGAATTACCAGTTCTCCTCACAATACCATGATTGGAGATCAGCTGACTTTCACGTGACCTGAGACGTCCAGGACTACAGCGCATAAAAATTATCCCGGGATTACGGAAGCTTTCCATTAGGGATGCGTAATACTGAGTTTCGTTGAACCCACCAGGTAGGCCTTGTAAAATTCTCAACTGTAAACACCAGCCGAACTGTTACGCTGAGTACAGATTTTCACTCCGACAAGAACACTCATTTCCAAATCAGTTTGGTTTTCAGGAGAGACTCAACTGAATCTCTCGTTTACGATATTCTTCAACTGAATGTGCTGCACAAAGGCCGACTAAGATATTCAAGTTATCGCAGTACATTTTCATAAAGGAAGCTAATCAAAAAGTTGCTGAGAACTCTTCGACAGCCCACCACCAGTTTCACCCTTCTTGAGGCTCATCAAATAGGCCCACTTATCGGGATTCAGTCAACCTTATGTTCAACTTGAACCCGAACTGGACTGATTTCGACAACCTCATTCATTTTCATATCAATTCGGATGTCGACAATTTTTCAGCAACTTTATGAGTAGTTTCCTTTATAGCCCGTCACTTCATTTCGTCAGCCAGGACATAATTCCGCGCACACATGTGAAAGACCGACTATCTACTCTGGCATGATAAAGATCTGTTCTCATTCATATATTCCGTGTAATTTTCCGTCTTCTATCTTTGCACATAAGCGTACATATATGTACCTCAGCTGTACTTCGGTGCCTAGCTGCCATGCCCCTCGAAGGAAACATGAGGGCCGAGATACCGCGAAGTTGCCCAAACCTAGACCGATGCCACTTGAGGTACAAAGGCCGGATTCGAAACATGAACCTTGCGGTTAGTAAGTTCACTCCTTGAGCACTGAGCCATACCAGATACATCTATGAAGAAGACTTGGTGTATGTGAAGTATAACAGTTAAAAGTTTCGATTTCTGCCGTGCAATCTATGCTGAAAAGCCAAGAAGCACTGCACAAATGCTTAATCCTTATTCGGAGTCCGCAGCAACACAAAACACACTCATCTCACTCAATTAATTCTCCCTCTTGTGCTGATGAGCCACCCAATGCTGAAAGGTCTAGTGTTCAAGCTACTAGGTGAGTGGTCGCCCGTTCGAAACACTCTGGTGGAGTTTCGTGAGATGTACACTGCTGACTATTACCCGTAACGATTAAATAGGTGTACAGTGCTTCTCGGCTTTTCAGCATAGATTGGCTTCACCTACAGGATGAACGCTTAATCGGGAATTACCAGTTCTCCTCACAATACCATGATTGGAGATCAGCTGACTTTCACGTGACCTGAGCCGTCCAGGACTACAGCGCACAAAAATTATCCCGGGATTACGGAAGCTTTCCATTAGGGATGCGTAATACTGAGTTTCGTTGAACCCACCAGGTAGGCCTTGTAAAATTCTCAACTGTAAACTACACAGTTATTTCGGATTCAGGCTCAAACGAACTCCGACTGGAGTCATTGATTGCTTGTTTACTTGTCATCAACACACGGCTACTCTGCTGCACACTGATTATGTCACCTGAATTGGTAGCAAAACGGTCGCGCCGAAATTTACCAGCTCAGTGGACGATAAAATAATGTCAATGATTGGACAAGTAAAAGTCAGTTTATTTTTGACCGGCAACTCTAATTATCGAGACTTTCTAGGGCCCAGACATCCACGACCCACAGCCTTGTGGGTCACATCAGCAGACAACATTCATGTAAAAATGAATTGAAATTTAGATTCACGAACGCTTTGTTAATATTGTGTGATGTCTGGTTTGGAAGGGTCACAACTTACACCTTAAAAAACGATCGCATTCTAAACTCGTGTACTGTCTTTTCTTATTCAAGTATTAACGAAAGCTGAGAGAAACTCAGCGCTGTATGCATCGACAAACTCCTATTGATCCCATCGATCCAATTGATGGGTTGAAATAGTTGTTTCTTGACAGGTGGCCAATACCGTCTGTCATCCGGCTTCCTGCGCACTGAGTCACGTCTTAGTCTTTACGACTGGAAGACGTGAAAACACCTTGCCGAGAACATATTCGCCAACCCATCTTTGTTCTTATTCGAAATGAAAATGTTCGGAACATTAAATAAGTAAGCCCCATNAACCCACCAGGTAGGCCTTGCAAAATTCTCAACTGTAAACTGCACAACTATTTCGGATGAAGGCTGAAACGAACTCCGACTGGAGTCATTGACTACTCGTTTACTTGCCATTAGCACACGGCTACTCTACTGCACACTGATTATGTCACGTGAATTGGTAGCGAAACGGTCGCGCCGACATTTATCAGCTCAGTGGACGATGAAATAATATCAATGATTGGACAAGTAAAAGTCAGTTTATTTTTGACCGGCAACCCTAATTATCGAGACTTTCTAGGGCCCAGACATCCACGACCCACAGCCTTGTGGGTCACATCAGCAGACAACATTCATGTAAAAATGAATTGAAATTTAGATTCACGAACGCTTTGTTAATATTGTGTGATGTCTGGTTTGGAAGGGTCACAACTCACACCTTAAAAAACGATCGAATTCTAAACTCGTGTACCGTCTTTCCTTATTCAAGTATTAACGAAAGCTGAGAGAAACTCAGCGCTGCCTGCATCGACAAACTCCTATTGATCCCATCGATCCAATTGATGGGTTGAAATAGTTGTTTCTTGACAGGTGGCCAATGCCGTCTGTCATTCGGCTTCCTGCGCACTGAGTCACGTCTTAGTCTTTACGACTGGAAGACGTGAAAACACCTTGCCGAGAACATATTCGCCAACCCATCTTTGTTCTTATTCCAAATGAAAATGTTCGGAACATTAAATAAGTAAGCCCCATTCAAGAATAGTACACTGTACTGTTTTTAGGTGATAATCAGAACACAGTCGTCCTAAAGACTGTTTAACCGCACCAACTCACCTACCTTCGCTGATTAGCCAATAAGCAAGCTTCCCTGTGGATAAGAGTGCCTCAACGACATGTAAATTGACCTTGGGACGGGTTGAAAGTCACAGTTACATTATATCTGATGAGTGGCTTTGATATTTTTGGGTTCAGTTTCATTCCAACGAAGTCAGTGATTACTAGAAGCTGTTAGGCGTTGTGAAACTGTTCCCTCTTTGCTACGAGTTTACAGCAGCGCGCACCTCTACCCCTCCAGCAACCTTATGTTATTTGACCGGGTCACGTGGTCACGTGGCCCATCAATTGACTGCAATACGGAATAGAATATTTGCAATCTGACTCCCGAAAACACTAAAACGTTGAACTCGACGTGGCCCATGACTGCAATACGGAATAGAATATTTGCAATCTGACTCCCGAAAACACTAAAACGTTGAACTCAATCACTAAAATCACACCACACAATATATATATATATATATATATATATATATATATATATTCAACACGGGCGAA